TGTTTTGGCTGCCTCAATAGCTGTTCCTGTCTGACTGCTGCTAAGGCACAGGAAAATGAAGGCAAATTGAGCAGCTGTTTATCCTGAGCACCTTAGAGATATCTGCTTTCCCAGGTCCTTTCTCCTTTGCAGCTTTTACCTCCTAGACGTGTCTTAAAAGGCGAGGTTGTTGCTTTTACTCAAGGTTATGCAATTGTAGCTCTCAGAAGTTCTGCAGCTGCCTGAAAACATGGCTTTTCCTGCTGAGGAGCACCTTGCTGCTAAGCAAGCTGCATGAAGTTATTAAATATTTAAATAAATTATCACAGGTTGTTTAAAAGAGCAAGGACAGGTGAGGTGGCTACAGAAACTGAAGCTGCTGATGTGCCCTGAGCTTGGCCTGGTGGCACAGCTGGCACGGTGAGCTCACGTACAGGTCGGAGCTGTGCAAACGCTACGTGCCCTTGTGAAGGGGGTGGCCGGGGGTCCTGGAGGTGAGGGACCAGAGCTGTGCCAGGGATGTGCCACAAACCCTGCATCCAGTGCTGGGGATGAAACTGTGCACAAACGGCTTGGGAGTTACGATGTGGCCTCATTGCCTTTATAATGTATTCCCACCTGCACTGCTGGCACTATTTATTTTATCCCCCAGGAATTCCAGTGGTAGTAGTAGAGGTGTTTGGAAAATAGATCCCTGCAGGAGAAACTGGCCTGACGAGCCTGACGTTGGCATTGTTGCTGTAACGGGGGGAGGATCCCTCCCTGCTGGGCTGTGTTCCCAGGCTCAGGTCCCAGTGGGGCAAAACCCCAGTCTCCCTTTGGGATGGTGGCATCTGTCCTGAGCCTCCTTTGGGGGTGAGGTGAGGGCACTCGGAGGGTGCAGAGGAGGGAGGAGATTGCTGTCAGTGTTCTGTGAAAGGGCTGAGAGGTTCCTAGTGGAGCTGGACAAAACAAGCCTCTACTTCTCCAGCTCCCGTCGAGGGGATCAGCCTCGCCAGCATCCCTGCTCCTTTTTACCCTGTCTGTGAACACCCAGCAGCCTGCAACCCACGGTGTGGGGCTGGCCAGGGCTGCAGGAGCCTCCTGCTGACTGGGGATCCCCTTGAGTTCCCGTGCGGTGGCAGCACGACGTTTCTCTGCCTCGGCTGCAGCAGGCTGACTTGTTCCAGAGGGTAGGTAGCATGCTTTAATTGGGGCTGTCTGCACAGGCTTGCTGACACGGGCTCCTCCTGAGCTAATCTGCGGATGAAATCAGTGGTGCCCAGGCTTTGCTGTCTGTAGTCCTGGAGGGCTGGAGGGAAACGTGATGTTTCTCTGTTTCAGCCCTAGCAGGGGCTCCCTGGGCTGACTCCTGTGGGAGATGTGATTTCAAGTCTCTTCTCTGAGACATTCATTTGGTTGGGGCAGCTCCAGTGGTTTCGTAGCTGGCTCCTCTGGCCCAGGCGAAAAAGAAGCACGTGGGCCATGCTTTGTCACAGCTTTCATTGCTGATCTGCTTGCAGTGAAGGCTGAGGGTGTGTTACAGAGAGGGCAGAAACATTTCAGCTTTGGTTGAGAGCTTGGCTGTGCTGGTAAGAGGCTTTGGTGGCCTGTGCTGCAGTTCTGTAGCATCTTTCACACTGTGTTCAGCATCTGTGATCAGCTAAAATGCAAAGAGGATTGTTTTTTTTTCCCCTTTACTGGGGCCTGGCAGGGGAGTTCAGCATAAAATCCCTTGCAGGAAATAGAGGTGGGGCAGAGCAGGGCTCTCCACGTGGATGGGAGTCGGTGTCCGTCTGCAGAACAAAAACCTTCTCTCAGCCACAGCCCAAAACCTGGGGCTGTAAAGCTGGTGTTTGGATTCCTTGTGACCAGCGAGTTAATCCTTCCTTCTGGTGCCGTGAATGTTTGTTTAGCCTTCTCTCTTACAACGCATTTATGGGGCTCAGGCCGTTCAAGTGTGTGTTGGGCGGCTGCCGCTGTCCTGTCGGGGGATTCTTTACGGCTTGGAGCATCACCAGGACCGCGGTGGTCATCCAGCGCCTTTGTGGTCCTGCCCCTTAGCGAGTGATGGATGTGGAGACGGCTGTGGGAACATTCCTGTCTGCAGCCCGCATGCGAGAAAAATGTTTTGTCTTGTGCTTCCCATCGAGCCCAGAAATGTGAGGTCTCCGCAGCAGCCTGTCAGCGCAGCCAGACAGCAGGGGGATAAGGAGCCTGCGATGTGTCCTCGCGTCCTGTCTTCTCCAAGCGATACCAGTGTTACGGCTGTGCTGCAGGACGGGATCTGCTTTCCTGGGGGAGAGCTCCGTCCAATTCGTGCTTTTGGAAAGACAAAACACAGCCTTTCAAGGCAACCACAAAAATCCAGAATTAATGAAGTGGAGGGAAGGAAGTACTTCAGCCAAAATGGGGAACCGCTCCTTGAAGCTGTGGCCTATTTATAAAACGCTTTGTGGAGGCTTCCCCTGCTAAAGACGGGAGAGCAAAGACCCGCTGAAGGCGAGTGGGGAAGGTTGCTGTTGAGTCAGCTGAGAGCTTGGAGACTGATGTTTCGAAACTGTCAGCTGAATAATTCAGTAAGCCTTGACCTTTTTCTCTGCACGCAGGTTTGGTTCAACTTAATTTCACTCTCGCTCCTGGTGAAAAAGGAAAAGTGCATGCTAAGGTGAACAGCAGGGTTTGCAGCCTCCCATAGTTCTTGATTGCTAACCTGTTATTAATGGCGAAAGACTTGCGTGGTGCCCTAAAATAGCTTGATTTGCCCTAAGGGGCTGCACATTCTTGTTTTCCTCTTCTAAAGCAGGTGCAAGGGCTGTGGCTTCACACCCCAAAATCACCTTCCCGTAGATTTGAATGAACAGGTTCAAATCTGGTTTTGCTGCTTCGTTATTGTCCTCTCCATTCCTTGGTAGAGCCACGTACAAATACGCCCATCACCTGCGAGTGTCAAAAGCTGGCCTTGTCAAAAACTCAAGTGTTTAATTTCTTCTCTTTCAATCCAGATGATGCTGGGTTTTGGCAGTGCTGGGCCACTGAAGTGTCACCGACGAATCCCAGCCTCTATCTAGCGTTTGCCATGATCCTGGAAGCCCTGGTAGGGATTTCATAAAGAGCTCATTTGCCTGCTTCATTTACGTCCAAGCCCAAGATGAGTTGTCAGTGCCCTTGTGTGAATTCATGCAGCTGAACAATCATTTCTTTGAAGCCAAGACCATCGGTGCTCACCACTGCGGTACCTGCAGGATGAACAAAGCGTGCGGCACAGATGTATGTTGTGTTTTTGTAAGATTTTAACGTGAGGAGAATTACTGTGCTAAGTTAGACCTCTTTAGCTGAGGCTCAGGACCACTAGTAAAGAAATATTCTGAAGCTGTGCGCCTGCATGTACCCATTCCGCAGGGCTCACTTGGAAATTGGGGCTGTGCAGGGAACTGCAGCACAACTTTTGGTGTCTGTGCAGGGCAGCGCTGCGCTGTGACACCCCCCCTGCCTTCTGAGCAAGCCGGCAGGGCACAGTATTAATGCCGATCCTGCTAATAGGTCCCAGAGCTAATTAATTATCCCGAGCACGATGTGGGGCACCTTTCAGTTCTGGAGCTTGCTGAATGGGAGCTGACAAAACGCGCCCTTGATGTGCGGCTGCATTTTTTCAGGAAAGAAAACACCAGGCTAAGGAATGGCTGAAGCAGCCCCGCTCGCCTGTGCCTGCAGCACCTCGCGAGGAGAACTGCTGCTTTCTGTGTTTGGAGCAGACCTGAATGTGATTCAGGTACAGGAACAGTGCTGCCTTGTTACAGCTCTGTCAGAAAGCCCCGCGGGCTGCTCTCCTTCCTGAAAAGCTCTGCGTTTCACCATGGTTGCGTTCCCACCACGAGCTGGGCTGGGGCTGCTGGAAGCCTGGGGAAGGCTTGAGGAAAGCCTGGCGATGGGATCGGGTTACTGAGGCACCCAGGTTTGTTAGCTCTGCCCTGCCGTGCCCGAGGCCTCTGTCCTGAGAGCTCCCTGCGAGCATCCCCAGCGTTAGCGCGGGTCTCGCCGGGTTCACACATCACGCTTTCCTGTGTCGAGCCCCACATTGCGCCGCGCCTCCAGCTAAAGGCTTTTAGTCAAGTCTAAATCCACTTATTTAGCAGCAGCTGGTTCGGGGCTATTTTAAGTGCGTGGCAGCGGAACACAGGAGGAAATGGCTGTTGGTTTTTTTCCTCTCTGCTGTCTTGCCGAGCTACATCTGTGATGCTGCAGGATCCTGTAGCCACGGGGGTGTGAAAAGAACTGAAAAAATAATATTCTCTGATGTCCATATAGTGCCGTGCCTTCTTACCATCTGCACTTAGCTTCTGCCCTGCTGCTCCCAGTCGGTTTTAATTCCTAAGCCGAAATGTTCTCAGGTCCAACAAAAGCTCAGCCTCTCCTGGTGCCAGTACAGAGCAGCCCAGTGCCGCTCATACCATGCAGCAGCTGCTGGGCTGCAGTCCTCTCAAAAACACTTTGCTTGGGGCTGGTGAAGGATGCTGCCACTTCATCTGTGCCTGGCTCAGGGAGGGTGGCTGGGGATGCCAAAAGGGGCTTACTTGCTTTTCTCCATGTGGCATCTGGGAAAACAAAGAGGCAGGGGAATTGCAATAAGTCGTGGGGCGTTTCAGCCTGGGGAGCCTGGTGCTGGTACCAGCTGGCATTTTGCTTCATGTAAGCTCTCAGAAAGGCGGTTGTGCTGTCCTGCTGGCGGGAGAGATTGGCCAGAGGAGCCGAGAGCATCTGGTTCTCGTTGGGCTCTGCCGTTGGATGGTCTTCATTCTTGTTTGTCACATTGTCTCTCTTCCCCCTCCCTTCCTCCTTCCCTTCCTTCCTCAGCCCTTTTTTCTCCCCTCAGTGAGTTTACAAGTCCTGCTGGAATGCACATATGGTCCTTATCATCCCCAAAGTCCAGCTCTTTTTTTTTTTTTTTTTGCTGGTTAGCAATTTGTGACATCAGGGGCCGTTAGAGGCATTAGTCACTTTTACTCCAAATAGAAAGGTTCGTGGCTTTTGGAAACCTAAGGAGGAAAACGTCTTTTATGGCAGCTCTTGGCAGAAGCGCGGCCGTTCCTGCTGCGAGCCGGCGCTGCCCTTTAGCCAGGCGTTTTGCCTGGAAGATCAATGTTCCTTCCCACTCTCTGCAGCCACTTTGGAATGGTCGGATTTTGCTGACTTCCCTCTTCCCAGCAGAATGCCACCGGATCCTTTTTCTCCGTCCTCCTGCGGCGCTGCTGCAGCCTGCCAATGTAAGCAGCTCCTCGCGGGTGCGGGAGCAGCGGCAGCGCCGCCGGCCACGGGACGCAGTTCCCTGCTGCGTGGTGGCCTGTGCCAGCTCTTATCTAGAAAGAAGGGGATGGTTTTCGGAGGTCTGCCCCTCCGGGCACAGGGCAGGGAGCTGCAGGGTGAGTCAGCCAGCAGGCTGGTGGGAGTGTTAGCCACCCAGCCTCCTACCTCTCCATGGATCTGCGGGGCTCACTCCACCTAGAGCAAGGCTGTGCCTTCCCTTGTGCAAAAAGGAAGAAAAAAAAAAAAAAAAGAGACCTCCCAGACTTCAGTAGCTTGCAGATGTCTGCCCGAGTCTGCAGCCAAAGCACGGAGACAGGAACTCCCCCTCTCTGCTGGTGCCACTGATGGTTATCCTAGCCTGAATCAACACCAGTCCTTCCTCTCCTGATTAGCTGAGGGATTGCTGCGGGCTGTGTGCTCAGGGCACGAATGCCCGAGCTGTGGCAGGGAGGGGGTGGTTCTTGCCTTTTGTTTTCCCCAATTTTATTATACTTGAGTTCCCTCGCCCAAGAATTAGAGGTTCAGCCATCACTGGGAATACTTCGTGCCCCGCTGGCACCCAGTGTTAACGCAGGGAGGGGGAACGATGGATCTGCCTCATCCTGACTGCTCCTTGCTGCCGTGCTCGCTGCTGTCTCCTGAGCCACACTGCTGTCTGAGCAGATTAAAGTATCTCTGAGGTCCCTGGCTCTGGATGCAGCATCTGAGACTGCTTGAGAAACACGGGAACGTGCGCCTAGTAATCAGGCAAAAATGTAGCTGGCCTGAGCTGCTGACAACAATAAAAGCTTTCAGGATTTCTTCAAGGTTCCCCCGAAGTCGTGTGGTCTCAAATAACTAAACACTTGCTTCATATTTGTGGTCTAGCTCAATATTTTGCATACCGGCATTTTTCCCCTCTTGAATTCGAGGCTCGTTTTTGTTTTCTTTAACTCTTCAGGGGCCGTGTGAAAGTGACCCCCAGCTGCCAGGAGCAGTGGGACAGGAGGGGCTGAAGGGGAGCGTTTTGCCAGCAGCCTTGAAGCAGGAGGGGCTCGGGCAGGAGGCTGCTTGGGCTGAGGGGCCAGCTGCTGGGGGGGGGAGAGCGGGGCAGTAAATGCAGCAATTTTCCTGGCTTCTCGCTCTGCTTCTCGCTCTGCCGGCCTTTCGGAGATGCTCCTTCCCACCCAGGAGGGAAGGGGATTTGGTGGTTCCCAGATCTCTCACTGGGCGCCTTCTGAGATGTGAGGGCACCTCCCCTTCTCACACAGACCTGCTGCTGCCTCCAGTGAGGGGAAAAATAAGTTTGCTTCCCTGTATTCCTGCTAGCTCTGCCAAGCCACCGCGGCTTAGGAGGAATGAGCTGATCCTCTCCTTGCACGTGCCTCGTCAGCCAAATTGTTTTACAAAGCCCTGCTGAGGTACCTCCAGGCAGGCCCCCTGCTCGCCGCAGAGCATCCCTTACAGCGCTGCCTGACCTATAAAACCCTTACCAGCAGCAGCCCCTGTGTGAAGGGAACCAGATCTGAAGTAAAGCTCGCGGGGCCCTGAGGCTGCAAACCCTTTCATGTCTTTTTTGCAAGGAACTCTTATCTTTCCTTAAAATTACACGTGTTTGGAGATGGGGTCCTGACAATTGGTCTCAGTGTAACATCTTAAAGACCATCGTTGTCCTGCAGCTGCCAGCCCCATGGCAAAGCCCTGCTGCAGGGACGGTGGCAAGAAAGGGGCAGGCTTTTGCTCAGCCTTCCCCCAAAAGCGCTGGAAGTGCGTGTGCTGGAGCTGGCTGCCGTGCTGCACGGTGCTGCTGTTTGTGTTTGGAGCAGGATATTTATAAACGCCAGTGCCTTGTGGTCCTCCTGCCTCCTTCAAAACACAGATCTGCACCACTCCAGCAGAAATGGAGGTGTTTCGATAGCCTCGCTGCTGAGTGGGATGTGCTGCAGACTGGAGCCCGCTGCGGGGAGATGGAGACGTGGGCATGCGTTTCATCTCTGCCCATGCCTTGGGCTAATGAGCTTTTCCTGGGGTTTTGCTGTTGCAGGCAGATATCAGGCTACTCCTCTGCCTGCCGTTACGTGGCACAGCTTGGGAGAGAGACCTGGCGTTGAAAAGCGTGCAGATACTGGCGCTTGGTGCTCCCGCTGTTGATGTTTGCCACTTACAGAAAAAGAAAGGAGGGTGGGAAACAAACAGTGATGAAAACAGGGAGCAAAAAATAACTGCCCCAGATGCAGGAGATGAGGCTAGCTCCTGTTCCTGCTGAGTAACTGGTGATGAGGCAGCACTTCGGTACTTGCCTTCCCAAAATACGTCGGGGAAGGAGATGCTGGTGCCGCGCTGAGGGTGTTTAACACCCACCGCTTTCTGTGCAGCGTGTGAGTCATGGGCACCTACTGCTTTCTGGGATCTGCTCCCACTGCCTTCGCTTAACCATAAACCCAAGCCCACTGGGGTTTTAAAAATACTCCCATTACAAATATTCAGCTTAACCCGTTCGTAGCGTGCTGAGTCCCTGGCTGTCCTTCCATTGCCTGCGGCTTTTCCCAGAAGATCCCTGTGGTGGGTACATGAGGTGAGGGGGGTTTTGTGCTGTTTTTTTCCAGCCGTAGCAAGGGGGTGGCATCTCTTACTCATTTTAAGCTCCTGCAGTTCCGTGCTGCTGAGTAGCCTCCAGTGCAGGGAGGGATGGAGGTGAACACATTGGCCAGAAACCTTCAGACAAGCCTGGTTTGGGTGCCAAAGAAGAGAGGGCTCAGACATCCAGTGCAGGTGCAACAGCACAGACCTGAGATTTTTCTCATTCTATGTGTTGTATTTCTTAAAGATTTTCTCTTTTTTTTAGTCTGTTATTTTCAGCAGCGCCCAGCCCTGTTGTAACTGCAGCCAGTGGCCAGTCTGTGTGTTTTGAGGAGGGCAGCAGGGACGCTCAGCCATCATGCAGAAAGCAGCAAGTCATCCTCTGCTTTTGGTTCTTATTTTAGCAACCAGAGGGTGTCTTTGCTCTAAAGCAGACTGATTTTGGGGGAAAAAGAGCTGGTGCTGCCAGCGCTTTTAGCCTTTAAGCCAGGCTGAGGCTGGCATTTAGCTGAGCAGCAGAGCTCAAGTGGAATGACTGCTGGAAGCTTTTGGGACTGGAGAAAGGTCTGAAGTTAGGGAGTTGTTAAGGCCTTAAGTTAGGGACAAACTGCGTGGAGAAAGATGGTCTGAAATAACAGCAGAGCTGCTCCAGGGCTGCCGAGTTTGTTTGTGCTCAGGATGTTGGCACAACCGCGATTTGCTGGGGGAAGAGATAACCCAGCTGGCTGCTTTTTCCAAGCCCGTCTGTGAATTACTGTACAACCGTTGTGGAGAAGTCCTAAATATAATCTTGGAGCTGCTCCACATCTCCCTCCTCTGCCACACCTTACCGCCTGTGAAAGAGCCCTGGCTCTTTGGCATGAGCAGTCAGGTCCCCACGGATCCTGGGGGCACCCTGCAGCTGAGGGTCCCGAGGTGCCTGTGCTGGTGTCGTGCTGCTGGAGGCGCCGAGCAGCGGCACGGCTTCATAAATCATGTGGGAAGCGCTGGGAAAGGTGCCCTGCTTTCCCACCTCGTGTCAGACAAGGCTATTTGTAAACCAAGGCATCTGCAGAGCGTCGTGTGTGCTTTTTTCCCCATCTGGCCAAGGCCTGTGAAAGATGGGAAGAGCTGTAGCTGGCCTCGGAGGTGTTGTTGCAGTCTCAGCCCTGTCCCACTGTGGCCATACTGAAGCGTTGCAGCCCACGTGTGTTGGCAAACTCCTGACGGCTGCTGGGTGCAATGTGCTGCTCAGCGTCCCATTACTTGCCTTTCTTCTTGGCTTTGCAGAACGATGACCTTAGGAACCTGTCCCTCTCCGGCCATGTGGGCTTCGACAGCCTCCCTGATCAGCTGGTCAACAAGTCAACGTCACAGGGCTTCTGCTTCAACATCCTCTGCGTGGGTAAGTCTCAGTGCACGCGCGTCCCTAAGCTAGCCCCTTCTCCCTTGGCCAGGGGTGAGACCTCAGCAATTTGTGACCATAGCAGCTTGAAAGTTACTGTTCCTATGCAGAGCTTATCCAGGGTAAAATCTACTCTTCTTTCCCTTTCCCCCTCCGGTCCCTTGACTTAAAATATTGGAGTTTCTGGGTGTTAATCTGCCCTTTTGATGATTCTGCAATCTTGCTTTTCCCAAAGGCTGCCATAAGGAAAATAAGTTGATCTGAGAACTAAATGAATTTTTAAAAGAATGTTAACTTAAATCCGTCTCTCCTGGGGTTGGGTGCAGAGGCTGCTTCTCAATAAATTGCATTCCTTCCCTTCCAGGCTTTGTCTGCCTGTCGTGTTATATTCTTAGTTTTTCCAGTTGGAAACGATGCCATTTTTAGTCTCCAAATGATGTACTTGAGAACAAAGCCTGTCACCTGTTCTCTGCTGCATTTAATGGGGGAGCTGCAAGTTGGTTTTGTAGCCTGAGCTATTGTCTTATTTTACCTCAATTTTTCAGAGGGGAAGCATGTGAAGGTACCCGATTCTTGCGAATATAGGAAGCTACTGGCTGTCTCTGCACTCTGTGCAGATACAAGTCCATCGCTCAGCCCTAGGGAGCTGTGTGCCAAAACAGCATTGAGCTGGTGGTGAACATCTTCAAGGTGTCCCCTGTGATGAGACAAAATAGGCAAAAGAGCTGGCTTTTACTACTAATCTGACAGAGCAGTTCACAAACAACATCTGTTCAGGCATTGTTCACTTAAGCCCTTAAGAAGGCAATATTGTCCCTTCTAACAAGTTGCGTTAATTAGCTAGGAAAAAAATACAGCCCTCTGATTCTTCTGTGGCAAGCTGAGACTTTGTCTGCAGTGCCGGATAAGCCATCTGAAAAAATCTGGTGAACAAACTTGACTCTTCTCTGTAGCCTTGCATGTTGAAGAACAAGATAAGAGAGTAGGATGCTTGCGCACGCTCAGGCTATCAGCCACCACGTGATGCTTCTAGCAGCATGAAACCATTTAAAATTCAGCAGGGAACATCCCGATTAGCAGGCAGCTCTTTGATCAAAATGGCATAAATTAATTGCCTTTTTCTCTGGCAGTAAATATTCCTCTCTTAGTGTGACTTGATATGTCTCCATTAACATAGCAATTTGCTCCGACTCCTTTCTCTTATAAAATGTGCTGATCAACCATTTTTAGCCCCAAATTAAGATTTCATACAAATGGCTGCAGTTCTCCAAAGAGGAGGAACCTCCCCCTTTAAAAAGAAACTTTAGAAATTGTGTTTTGGGAAGGGACACAATTAACTTTGCCATGGTAATGCGAAGCTTTTAATTGTAGGGTGAATGGCTGAAATGCTGCGAAGTCCATCTGGCACAGCATGCAGCGGTGTTGCATTTGCATCAGGAGCTCGCTCAAATGTGTAGCTGCCGAGTTTAACAGCCTGGGCCATCAGCTTAGGACTGATCTTTTCAAGTGGCTTGAGCTTTATCTGGATTTGGAGCTAACATCTTGTGCATAGGTGCTGTCTTCCCCCTCTCTTCTTTCATTTGTTTGTTCTTTTGAAGTTTGCTTTATATCCTGTGGCTTCCCAGGTCGGGAAAGCTGTGACAGGCATGTGTGCAGCTGATTTTGTTTTATTGGTCTGTAAAGAATCCCTTACCTCCCTGAGCCTAGCACAGAAGTGGTCAAAGTCAAAGCCAGCAAAGTGAACTATTGAGTATTGCAAAGTTGCTGAATAGCAGAGTTCATTTCTGTGGATGCAAATACTGCTGACGTCTTCTAAGTGGGCGGTTGCACGTTTTGAGAGAGAGATTTTCATCCTAGGAAAGCTGCCTATAACCCAGAGAGCTGCTTGGAGACCATCCCAGGTGCAGGGTCCCTTCTCCCACCTTAGTTTTTGCCCTGATTAATCAATCGATTGAATTTAAGATTTTCTGGAGGGGAGGTCCCGTTCACAAGCAAGTGGTTTGCCTCAATGCTAACTGCAGTGCCACAGCGAATGTGGTTTGCAGTTGACCAGAGGAGATGCAGCTTGGCATTTCTGCCATGAAATAATATGCAGAGAGGAAATTCTTCTGAAATCTTGGCTAATCAGTCATGTGTCAAAGGTGATGAATGGCAGTGTAACTCGCTAGAGAGACTGGGGTAGGACCCCTCGCAAGCCTGACCTGCAAATGCCAAAGCTGTGCGCTGTGGTGCAGAGCCCTGTCCCAAATCCTGACCTCTCTCGGGCTGGAGCGACCTCAGGATGTCCCCTCAGCCCCCTCCTGCTCCCTGCAGCTGGAGAGGGTAATGCTCAGCAGACACTTCTGACTTCAAAATGGGATTTAGGCTAATGCTTTCATCAATGTTACTAATTGCATCAGGGGATTAGCTGACCTGTTATAGTTTTAAAAGTTGGTATTTATGTAGTGTGCTATTTCTTTTTTTTTTTTTTTTTTAAAGAAAAAAAACTTTTGATGTACTTGTCTCAAGTTTTGATTGCCTGAGTTTCCCTACGGGCTTTTCTGTAATTCCCTTGAAAAAAGAAAAATTGAGTTCAGGATTAAAAACAAACAAACACAAATGTAAAAGCGTGGAGAGCCAGATCTCCCCTTAGGAATCAAACTTAGGGTTAAGAGAATTTACAGTTTGGTTCTGTAAAGAAAGTTGTGTCAGAGCTTGGCCAACACTCCTAAAATAGAATGAAGTATTTCTTGGGTAGAAATGCTTCATGCTGTCCTCAGTACAGATATCCCTTGCAAAACTGAGGGGTGGTTGGGGCTCTTCATGCCACCAAGCAGGAAGAAGCCTGCAGCACCGGTCAGGTCATACCAACGTAAAAGCCACAGGTAACAGCTGAGCACTGCTGGGAGCAAATAGCTCCTTGGGAAAGGCACGATCATTTGTCTTTCCTGCACTGCCAGCAGAGCAAGTCGAGTAACCAGCTCTGGCAGCAGCAGGCGCTTGCTGGTGCATCGCTGGCGGGGTCCCTTCCCTTCTCCACACAGGGAGCTTCACTCAGTAAATGTCTGAGTAACTGTTCTTAGAACTGTTACATCTTTTTATTTAATCCCCTTGCTGTTCCCAGCACAGCAGCCAGGCTCTTCACCTGCAGGTGGTGGCTTTTAGCTCTGAAGGCATTTGGTTTCTCCCTGCGTCTGTGGGAGCAGCAGTTTTTGCCTGGCAGGGGTTCGTTGTGGATTCACAGCCCCGGCGTGTGGTGCTTTGGCTGGAGCTGTCTGCAGGGTGTGTGGTGTGACCTGCAGGGGAAATGGGTGAGAGCCCAGCAGAAGCCAGAGCTGTTGTCACCTCCTGTGATGTCTGCCAAGTCCCTGGTTCGGTCCTGGGGGATTGCTAAAGACGGGAACCTTCTCAAAAGATGTGTTCCCGCAGGGATTACTTGGCTTAACTGTGGGTGTGTAGCCTAATTCCACCGCTACCAAAGCGGAATAATTCCTTAACCTGGTGAGTGTGTCTGAGACTGAGCTGGGGACAAGGGGTGGCATTGTACTGACCCTGCCTTTGTGTGCCCAGGTGAAACTGGCATCGGCAAGTCAACGTTGATGGACACTCTGTTCAACACGAAGTTTGAAAGTGAGCCTGCGACACACAATGAGCCTGGCGTGAGATTAAAAGCCAGGAGTTATGAGCTCCAGGAGAGTAATGTCCGTCTGAAGCTGACTATTGTTGACACGGTTGGATTTGGTGATCAAATTAACAAAGATGACAGGTAAATTTATTTCTAGTATCCTTCTGCTGAGGTGCTCTGAGGTCAGAAGGGCTTGATCCTCTGGGGATGTTTCCTGCTCCTGCATTGCTGGCCCTGCAAGACGGGTAGAAGTGGCCAGAAAGTGAAGTGAAGAACAAATGAATCACCTAGAAGGCTTCAAAGCTGATGCTGCCCTTCTGCCTTGCTTGTCTCTATGCAGCTTAGTTTAAGTATCTGCTTGAATTGAAACATATAAATATTTGAAAACATGTGCTCAAATTGCCATTGCATTACCATTTCTTAGGGGGCTGGGACTCATATCGTAGCTCCTGCTCGCACCATCCCACAGTGCTCAAAGTCTGAGTGGGTTTTACTTTACCCTTGTGCCTAGGTGCTGAGTTTTCATGTTGTGCGCGTGAAGTAAATCCTCTGGGCAGCCTGTACTCTGGGCTGCCTGCACAATCCCTTGTGTCCATCCATATGGGCTTCTCTGTTGTGTGAAAACTACTCGTTCTGTGATCACGGCTAATAAGCTAATTAATGCGTTTCCTACATCTTAGAGCCATGTACTCCCTCACTGCAGTAATCCCAGCTCCCTCTGGAGGGTTGTTTACAGCCCTCTTCCCTGCACCTAACAAATTGAGGGCATGCTGTCTGGCACCGTGTGCACTGAGCAAAAGCTGTTAGGGTGCTTGGTAGGTCAGTGACGTCAGCTCTTTGGCAATGAAAGCTTTAAATGAAAACTCCCACCAAGGCTCCTGTTAGCAGAACAGGAATTGAACAGGTACCTGATGGAACAAGGACTGTTTCCTGTTCCACAATGAAAACTTCTTCAATTTTTAGAAATTATTCTTATTTTTACAATGCCTTGTTTCGGGAATACTTCCTCTGTTCCTGACCTGACAATAAAGTGCGACTGTTGCCTCTGTTTTGCTGCTCCTGCTCCCAGCCAGCGCAGAGAGACAGGCGTGTGTGCTGGAGGAAGCTCTGCTCGTCTGACACTGCCATATGCTCTCAGGCGAGAACAAAAGCTGCTCATAAGAGGAGCAGGTGCTCAGAGTGCGGATGCTCTGCAGTTTGTTACTGCCGGGTCACTTTGCATTTGCTTCATTTGGCAGACAGGAGCCAGCAGTACTGGTAGGGAAGCCCCACAGCTTCCCTCTCAGGCCACTGGGGACAGGGGTAGTTACAGGGCAGCAGGGCAGCTTTTAGGGACAGCTTTCTTTTTGCTATGTCCCTACACAACACCACAACAGTTGGGGTTTCTCTGTGCTCCTGGCTCAAGTCCTACCTGTCCTTTTCCACTCGGTTCTGTTACAGGTCTTTCTCTAACATGATCTGCCCCACGTTGAGGTGATGTTGCAAACCTGCCTAGTGAGATTTTGTGAATATTTTGTGCCTGCAAATTAACAAACAGTGCTCAGTAGTGTCTTGTGGGTCTCTGGTGTCAGTGGTCATTGTGCAGCACTGGCTGTCTTCTGCCGTAGCTCTTGCTTGGTTAATTGAGCAAGGGTCTTTTACTTTACCCAGGCTTTTCAGCAACTGCTCGAACAGCTGCACAGGCATGTGGAGCAAAGGGACCAAAACCTTGTTGGCTGCCTGTCAGAAAGTTGTTTCTGGAGAACCTGAAAACACCTGATTGCCTCTTTCTTCCTCACAGCTGCTTTTCAGCGAGCATGAACACTGCTGTGAATCCAGTACTTGAGGCAGTGGGAATATTGTCCTGGTCTCAGTGCCCTCCTTAGAGGGCTTCCATGTGTTGGAGGCCCTGAGGTGTAGGAAGGGACAAAAAGAAAAGTTTCCTTTCCAGCAGAACAAGAAATTAAATCAGGGAATGTTAAATTATGACTGAATTTTCTCCATCAAGATGATCCTCCCCCTCCCCAAACAGTCTTAAACATGCAGTGATTCATGAGCATTGCTCACGAGTTTCAGTTCCTGAAAAGTTCTCTTTTTTTCCCTTATGCAATCCCTTTCCTCTTTTTAGATCACAAATAAGCTTTTGGACAATCTAGGGTAGGTGGTGACTTCATAGTTAAGTTTCTCAATGGCATTGGCAGAGCAGCCGTTCAGGCTTTAATGGGAGAGACTGCAAAATACATTTCTCTTCTGGATAGCAGCCTTGTGTGGTTTCCATGCACCTGAATTCCAGGGTTTCTGCCGCTCTTCCTTGCTAATAAATCCATAATAACCTCTCTGTGCCTCAAGCAGAAACACAAACCTGGTCGGAAGGGACTGTAAGTTGGGCAGGGAGGGTCCTGTGAGCAATACTTGTCCCCTTAACGTGCAGAGCACCTCTGAAGCTTCCTGGTCAGAGACCTGTGTGGTCCCAGCAGTGAACGCCCTGGTTTGCTCAGTGCTGTGTCTTCTCTCTCATCAGCTACAAGCCCATAGTAGAATACATCGACGCACAGTTTGAAGCCTACTTGCAAGAAGAGCTGAAGATCAAACGATCCCTGTTCAATTACCATGACACCAGGATTCACGCCTGCCTGTATTTCATTGCACCAACTGGACACTCGCTGAAGTCTCTGGACTTGGTCACCATGAAGAAGCTTGACAGTAAGGTACTTGCTGCCCCTGTTATGACCGTTGTTGCTTGGCACTACTGGTTTTTATGGGTTTATGACCTTGCCACAGACCTGGCTAAACCTGCAGAGAAACACCAGCTGTTTTTAGCAGTGGGGATTGCAGAGATGTGGTGTGAAAATTTTATTACCTTGGGCTGGCTGCTGGGATGGGCCATAATTCACTGGTTCATACATTGCAGAGACTTTGTAAGAGTGTGGGCTGTTACCCTCTTCCAGTCTCATCTCTGGTTAGGAAACTGGGCTGCTTTGCTCCACAGCTATGCTGTAAAATGAAGTCTGAGAGCATGAAACTATGTGCTAAGATGCTGTAGGAGCCCACTGTTCTTGCTGCTTTGCTGTGGTTTAACTTGGCCACGTTCACAAGTGGCAAATTTGTTCACAACTGAAAGACCAGTTGGCTGCTGGAAGAAAAAAAAAAAAAAAAAAGGATGTTTTCCTCTTTCAATCCATAAATAAAATGAGAGGTTTAAGTTGAACTCTGCTAGTTTAGCACTTAAAAATATGGTTGCCATCTCTATTTCACTTTGTCCAATGATTAATTATGTTTCAGTACAAAACCTTGTGTAAGTGTGTGTGAGATGGGGAGAAGTACATCTAAAGCACTTAAGGACATCTTACCAATCAATGAGAAACAGATCAGAGTGCTGTGTCTGCATGTGCCTGCATGCTCTAAATACAAACAGGGATTTGATCTCCTAGGCAGTTGTAGTGTTACTGTAACCATGATCTGATAAACAAGAATCTGAGTAAATGCGTTCCCCTTAGTAACAAAACCAGGAACCAAACTTGTGGTTTAAAGCCCGATTTCTTACTAGATAACCTAAGAAGTTTTGACCTCTCTTCTTCCAGGAAAAATAACCAAATGTACAAATGTAAAATGAACAAGTATTTCAAATAAGGTGTCTGTGCTTCTTTGTACCATGACTGAGCAATTTAAGTCTGTCCACTTTGCACCTGTGGCTCTCTGGATCCTGATTCTGCAGAAGATAAATGACAACGGTTCTGTACTTCCTAGAGCAGCCTATCGACGGGGCTTTGTGCAGTGATGGAGAAGGATCCCTGCTCTAGTCAACTTAAAGCAGGGTTATGGAGATTAACCTAAAATGAGCTAATTGGCATTTGTCTTCTGTCTTCTGGCAAAAGGGAGTTTAATAACTCCAGGACATCCGCCAAACAGAATTAAGTGATGTAATGTAAGGGGATTTTCAAGTACTGTAGAAAAAATCCCTTCCTATGGGTCAATGTTAACATCTCCCACACTAGCAGCATTGCCCACCATTGCAAGGGAGGAGAGTGAGGGTGAAGCAAATCCTGCAAGATCAAAGGCAGAAATTGTCTGTCCAGAGTGGGACGGAAAAGAAGTCAGGTTTCCTCCTTTTAACAAGGCCTTTACCTTCTCCCAGCAAAGCAGGTACTTGCTGAGCGTGGACCCGTTCAGCTACCCTGGGAGTACCACGCTATATCGCTCCTGCTTTAGATGCTGCCCCTGTTTGCCGTCCTGCTACCAGCACTGCGAACTGTGTGTGTACAGAAGAGTACCAGAAACTGACCCTTAATTTGTATGTTAGCCACATCACGCTGCTCTCTTTGGTCATCTACGAGCTGTGTAAGGATAAACCCGGGTGTCCCAGCACTCGAGCAAACGCCCGCAGGAGGCTGTTGTCTGAGCGTGTTGCCTGCAGCCCCCCAGCCCGTGCAGCTCAGAGCAGTGCCTAGATAGTGATTTCCTTTCTTTGGAACAGCTCGCAATGGTCTCTGACAGCATTTCCTGTCCAGCCAATTCCGACAAGGAGGGGAATACGACAGGAAATAGCGTGGTGCCAAATTGCATTCGACTTCTTTTTAAGGCCATCGTTGTTGCTGCCTGAACATCCTGTCTGTGGCACGGGTGCTGCCAGCAGCAGCCGCAGGGAAGGCCTTCCGCTGGCTGGGAGGTGGCTGGCGGTGCTTCTCATGGGGTGCTGTCCTTGTCTTGCAGGTGAACATCATCCCCATCATTGCCAAGGCTGACACCATCGCCAAAAACGAGTTGCACAAGTTCAAGAGTAAAATCATGAGCGAGCTGGTCAGCAACGGCGTCCAGATCTACCAGTTCCCGACGGATGAAGAGACAGTGGCCGAGATAAATGCCACAATGAGCGTATGTTTCCCTTTGAGCTTTGCTTGCCTTGGTTTCTGTGGGCCCATCCCTGAGGGCAGGGCACGTTGTGCCATGTTTCTCTTGGCTTTCAAAATCCAGTCTGAGATCAGGCTGGCCAGAAGGCTTTTGGAGCTGGAGATACCTGTAGGACGTGGGCTGCCTGGCCTGATACACTTCATTGTCTGACAAACAATTCTCCTCTGGGCATTTTTCATATCCTTCCCCTCTTGCAGTATTCCCATCTCAGGAAAGGAAGAGGATGGGAGGCAGGTCAGGCAGGGGGCTGGGGTTTGGCTTTCCTGTCCCAAACGACCACTTGTTGCTTCATGGGGGTGAATCACTTCTGTCTTTGTTTTGCTTTCCGGTGAGAGCGGGGGTGCTGTCGGTGTGTTCCAGCCCTCAAGAGGGCCAGCGGCCATCAGCAGTGTGGGCTCTGCCTTTCCCCTCCTTCCCCTTCCTCTAGCAATAGCTGCAAGAATTGAGGGGCAAATGAGGCTGTGGTAGAGCAAGAGTTTACGCTGGGTAACACCAATTCACCATGGGCCTGACTTGCAGCACGAGGGGAAGAGCACGAGCCCACCATTTCTGGCAGTGACCTGCATCACTGCGGTGCCCTCAGGGCCCTTGGGTGGCTTTAGCCGGTCATGTAGCCCAAGAGGATGTGCTGGTCCCAAGGAAAGCTCATGTGAAATGAGCAGAAGATTGAGTTATCTGCATTTTACAGGGAGCGGAGGCATTGCAAGCCATTTCCTTGCAACTTGAAGACTTGTGGGAGCTTCCCTGCTCAGCTGCTCGTAGGCAGGAAACTTTCAGACCCAGCTGGGTATCAGACCCTCTCCAAACCTCTGTATCGCCTCCTGCTTTTCCCCGTCTGTGTTGTGCTCTCAGCGGGGAGAAGCTGGCACAGGGAAGGGATGTGCTCCTGCCAGGGCGCTGCATGTGCGGTGCGTGCCTTGCCCTCTGGTGCAGCCTGGCTGCTGGGAACCTTTGCCAGTTTTAATCATACCCTCTCTGCTGCTTTTTTTGAGGCTTTTTCCCTCCTGCCCAGCCTGTGACCACAACCTGGTGGCCAAGGCATGCACTCCCAGGGCTTGAGCTCAGCCCTTTCGGGTGCCGTTTGGGCAGGGCACAGCACGGGGGGGGGAGCTGGCAGGAGAGGCAAGCTCCCTCCTGGCAGCAGCTGCAGTTCTGGGAGCGGATCCCAAACTGTTGCCGCCACACCCGCGGGGAGACCGGGACATAGCAGAGCTCGGTGACTCAGACACGTCTGCCCTGGGCTGGGTTGACTCTGCTCTTCCCCTTGCTCGCAGTTTTGCCCTTTTTAAGAGGAAACATTAGCAGTTATTTCTAGCAGCAGAAACTCCCTGATTTTTTAGCCTATCTTCCTTTCGAGCATGTATTTTATTTTCCTTTTTTGCTGTTTGACAGTTATTTTTCCTCAGTGCTCAAGTTTGTAATCCTTTTTCTGTGCTGAACGTAGTCGTGCATTGCAGTTACATGTAAAGTCTTATTCTTTTTTTAGGAAAAAGAATCTCTTATTTTTAGGACTTCAGAATTTTGGACTTTGCGAAGGTTTTTAATCCAGGCTGTCCTGTTGGTCTTCCTAAAACACCAGCTGAATTGGAAAGGCACTTGAGCAACTTAAATCCAGCACAGCTGCCACATAAACAGCTCTTTTCAGAAACAGTCCCTGGCAAGGCAAGAAAGGAAATCCCTAACCTCCTTGTCCCTTTCCTCTGTAGGTCCACCTTCCATTCGCCGTAGTTGGCAGCACCGAAGAAGTGAAGATTGGCAATAAGATGGCCAAAGCCAGGCAGTACCCCTGGGGCGTTGTGCAGGGTATGTTGCTGAAATCACAAATGAGTCTTTGTCGTCTTCTCTCTTTCTCATGAAAGGTGCAGTGATCTCTGAATGCCCCTTATCAAAATCTGCCTTGAGAAAGCAAGGTCTTTCTCCGTGAAATCAGGGCTTTGCAACCTCACGCTAGTTTTGGAGGGGGTGAGTGGGGCTCAGCGTGGCCCCTTGCTTTGGGAAAGATCAGGGTGGTGGAGCTCACTAGGAGCTGTTGAATCTCCAATTAAAAAATAATAACCCTTCTCTGTTCCATGTGCTTTTCTGCCAGCTGTAAGTGTGAACAATGGGGAAAGCTGGGGCAGCCAACAGCTTTGGAGTTGACACAAAAGCCAGCATACACCCATGTAGCTGGGGGACTTTTCCGGGGAGGAGAGCAGGTGCCCTGCCTTGCCAGCCTGAAGCGGGAGCAGAACTAATTCAACCCTGACTGCTTGGTGTGTCATTTCCTGCCATCCTAAAGTATGGACCTGTGGCTTGAGTATGCAATCCCCTCATAAAAGTCAACCAAAAGCACCTTTGGAGAGCAGAGTTTGGCTTGGGCTCTGTTTGCAGCCCAGGCTGTACCAAAGCTCCCAAAGAACAGGCTGGTCCTCGCTTTCCCAACCAGCAGTGGGAAGTAAAGCATTGAGACCGTGGTGGGCTGCTTGTGGTTTCAGCTGCACTGTTCAATTGGAGAACGTCCCAGCAAGCTGCGGGGGAGCATCCACAGGACAATTCTGCAAAACTCACCCAGTTTATCTCAGTAATACAATCTGGCCCTCAAGCAGCTTCAGACTTTCTGTCTGTGTCTGCCATGGGGTAATACCGGGGATAACTGCAGTTAGGAAAGAAGTTAATGTTTGCTAAGTCTTGTGCTCGACATGTATCCTGCTGGGTTCTGGCTGTTCCCAGGAACTAAGACCAGATAGTCGAAGAGATTTAGTTGGGTACTGGAGGGACTTTGAAGATCTGGCCCTGAATTGTCCCTTTCCTCTGAGACAGCTGCTCTGATCTGAGGGGGAGCAGCTGGAGTGCTCTGCTGGGTCCCCAGGGACATGCTGCAGAGCTATCTGCTAGCAGCAGAGCTGCCTGCTGCTTGCGGTTGTATCCTAAAAAGAGAATTTCCACCCCTTATTTTTAAGCACACCCAAACTGTGTGCAGCCTTCTGGCCACAGACCCCTCTGGGCTGAACAGCTTGCTCTCCCAGGAGCTGACCAGGGCACACCGAGCTGTGTTCTGCATAGAAATGGTTATGAAAGCACGATTACAGCATCTCTGCCAGGGTCTTCTCATATCCTTTGTTTTCACTGTGGCCACAATCAGAGTTTCTGCTGCCTGCCTGGGCCCCTGTTGGTGGCTTACATTTAGAATGGATTGGAGTGGGACGTGCAATCCCGTGTCCAAATGGGTCGGCATCACCTTGCTGGTGCAGATGGGAAGCACGGGAATCTTGCAACTCCACTGAACGGCCTTGGGCTGATGCCTGTGTTTGGCGTGGGGTGCTTTCACCCCCAGTTCAGCAAGATGTTTTGGTGCAGCTTGTCCTGGAGCTGCACTTGCGAGCTTGAAAACCTCTCAGGCTTGCCAAACTGGGGCCTGGGTCCAGGGAAATGGGGGACCCTTCTTTGTTCTCTTTGTGGATGGTTTGTCTTGTTTGCAGTCGAAAATGAGAATCACTGTGACTTTGTGAAGCTGCGGGAGATGCTGATCCGAGTGAATATGGAGGACTTGAGGGAGCAGACGCACACCCGACACTACGAGCTGTACAGGCGCTGCAAGCTAGAGGAAATGGGATTCAAGGACACGGATCCAGACAGCAAGCCTTTCAGGTAGGAGAAGACAACTTGGGCCTTGAACAGCCAGGGAGCTGGGAGGTCTTCAGGATGCCAGCATTTGCATGGACCACAGAGGGAATAGCCATGGTCGCTTAAAGCAGCCGAGATCTGAAGTGTGGCTGGGCAGTAAGACTTTGTGCAGTGCAATCCTGCCCCCAGGGCTTTATGCTTTGTACAGGAAAAACAAAGGAGAAGTTTGGCTGGTTAACACTCCAGCTTAAAAATGCCTGATCTTCAGGAATAAAGCTCCTGTTGGAGTTGGAAAGCTGATTTTTGGAAAGCAAATTGCCCAGGAACTTCTGATGCTTTCTGCCCCTGGAACAGAGCAGGTTTTGCAATCATAAGGTGATGTGTTAGTGCCCCCTTTCCTCCAACGTAGACTCAACTGTGTTTTGCTGCCAGCTCACTCTGCCAGGTACAACAGCTGGGTTTGTAAAAAGTGCTTCCAGTGCAGCTGTGTCCGTGCTGAGATGAAGCCGACTCATGCATGGAGGTTGGTCACCCACGGGGAGATCCTGAGATAAATGTTCTTGTTGGCTCTCCTAGGGTTTTCCACAGCTGGTGCAAGGTGCTGTGTGAAGACAGTGCAATGGTCTGATGCGTGAGGCTTGGCTTACTGCTAACTACAAAGTTTACGCTGCCTCTGACAGCTTTATTGGTCCAAAGCCCAAGTCATTAGCCAGGAACATCAGCTGTGTGGGAATTTGGGAGTGAATGTTTGTTTTCTTCCTCCGTTTCCTGTTTCTCCCCACCTTTTCCCTAATAATTGCCCCCCCCTGCTTTGGGAGCATCCCACGCTCCTCTCTGCCCCAGGGGAAAGGAGTCAGGATTACTCCAGCATCTTTGCACTGACGCTGGTTTATCTCTGTAGCACTCGTGCATGTCAGGAATGGACGTGCCAATCTTGAGATGGCAGACACACAGCTGGCTTGTGCAGATCACCACAGATGCAATTTATCTCAGATGTTCAATGGGGGAAAACCAGGTGGGCTCCAGAGCAGAAGGCTGAGCGGGGGGCCTCGTGCTCCTGTTTCTGGAAAACAGCAGTCCGCAGAGAGCAGAGCGAGGCCTGTGCCACAACACAGAGTTTGCTTCAGTTCAGGGTTTGATTTGTGACTTGCTGAGGCTATGCAGCTGCATTTCTTTTGCAGTGGAGAAACTGTGCTGAGTTCTGTTACTGAGCCCAAGTGTGAAGCTTTATTGGATTTCCTTTCTGGAGAGCAATGGCTTAAGATGGGCTCAGCCCTTCCCTTCCAGGAATCTGAGGAATTTCCATTGCTTCCTGTGCACGAGGCCTCTTTTGACCAAGCTATAAGTAGAAAGGAAATGAAAACGTACAGAATTTCTCCATCTGGTACGTGCTAGTTCAGAACAGTTCGCTCTGGCTGCCTCCTCCCTCCCTCTCTCCCATAAACAAACAGAACCCATGAACCCGAGCTGTTTGGCTGAGGCTGATGTATGTCTGAAATGAGGGGAACAGGAGGTTTGGTTCTCTCTGTTCTTCCTGAGACCAGCAATCAAAGCCATGCTTTCCCTCCTGGTACTGGGAGACCACTGCTCTTCAGCCAGTTTGCACCAGGGAGCCCTTCGTAACTCTCGGGGTGAGCTGGGCAAAAGACCCCAGCAAACTGTTGTGCACTTAAAAAGCAAATTCCCTTGTCATCTGTGTCTGTGAGAAGCTGTAGGGATCCCAGTAGCTTTGGACTGTTATTCCCTGGGGCTGGAAGTGTTTTTTCATATGCAGCCTGGAGTTGCCGGGCCAGTTTCTCTGTGAATTTAGCTTCTTTGGAAATCAGAGTCACTTCAGTAGAGATTTAGGTTTTCTGGCTTTAGGTAAGTGGCAAATGTTTGACTGAAGCTGGGATTAGCATTGGAGATGGGAAAAATTAACCACAAGCCTCTGCCCTCGCTCCTGCAAGCCTTTTTCTGCTTGCCTGGCACTGCAGTGTTGGAAGTGAGCTTTGCAAGGAAAGGTTTTGCAGTGCAGGATACAACTCGCAGCGTGCAGCTTTCCCTTTCAGTCCGCAAGGCTCTGCTGCTCCCTAGGACGGGATGTCACTAACTGCAGATTGCATTTCTGGGCACTGAGCAGCAGAGACTAATCCGCACTGAGAGTTTTCCTAGGCTCCAGCCAGTTTCTTCAGAAGGGTTTATAAATGTGGGTTTCAACGTCCACAGCCAGAGGGTTAAGTCCAAGACTGAATTTTAGGGAGGCTTTGATTCAAGTGGCCCAATCTCCATCCACTGTGACTGGAGCGGGTCTTAACTGAGTTCAGAGTCCGAAGATGCCTCTTGCTCTGTTCTCACATGAAAAGATTTCTGCGATTTGTAGAATGAGCCTTTTTGGTTTGTTGTCCAGGAAGCTGCTGTGGTCAGCTGGAATCGTGGGGTTGCTCCACAGTGCCGGGTGCTGTGTAATGTAAGAGCAGCTCAGGCGGCTCCTCGGTGGAGTACCTTAAGAGGAAATCCAAGTGCCCATCAGTTAGCAGCGTTAGCCCAGGTCTTGAGTCTGTGTGTCCAGTTTTATTCCCCAGTTCAAATAAAAAAAAAATATAGGCACAGACTAGGAACGACAAAACCTTGATTTTAATGGGATTAATATGTCCCACTGGCCCAGTGGTTAATGTGTTCCTTAGGTGCACGCGTGCAGCACATCTCTCTGATAGCAGTGGCATTTTCTTTTAAAAAACGCAGTTTCAGAGAAGCTTCTTGGGGAAACAGTTATCATTCCCACACTATCGTAACAGCTGAAATACCCAAATCCATGTAAGGAATAAATCGAAAAGGAATTTGGCATCCAGATTTCCTGCGAGGCCCTGAAAATCTCAGAGGTGCATGTACAACGTGTTTGTGTCCCAAATATTTGCTGTGATATCTCAGTGCTGGGGAAATAAAGGAATGTGAAGAAGTAGAGGGGGGAATAAAGGAATGAAAGAATCGGGTGGTGTGGTTATTCGGAGCGGGAATGCTGGCAGTCATTTGCAAAGACTGTCTCCCTTGAGAGCTAAAGGAGAAAGAGAGGTCTCCCAAGGTGGCTTTATCTTAATAAAGCTCCTGGTCTGAATCCATTAGCAGTGAATAGTGAAAGTTAATTTTGCTTTGTTTCAACACCATGCTTAATGAACTGCATACAGCCAGATTTTGCTCTTTGCTATGCCTGTCTCTGCTCGACAAACCTTGCACGTCAAATGAAGAGATTCAGGACAAACAGCGTGGAGAAGCAAGAAGGTGTGAATCAAGCAGGTAACAAGCTGTGCTAGCACCAGAGGTTCCTTATGCAGTGGCTGTATATTTTGGAGGACAGGGATCCTGCCTGCTGAGTGATTTACAGGATCCTGAACAGTGTGCTCAGTTTTGCTTGCCGGTTTGTACCCCCGCTGCCACCCCTGTTGCTGCCATCTAAAAAAATAGGACAGGTTTCTGGGGAGGGGTTCACGCCTTGCTTGCACGGCAGGGACCTCTGGTGACGTTTTGTGAAAGGACGATGCGGTAAGATCACCAAAGGCTGGAAACTCATGACTCTGCATGAAACATAGCTCTGACTCTTTGGTTTTTTTTTCTGTGTTTTGACAGTCTCCAAGAGACTTACGAAGCAAAGAGGAACGAGTTCCTGGGTGAACTCCAGAAGAAGGAGGATGAAATGAGGCAGATGTTTGTCATGAGAGTGAAGGAAAAGGAAGCAGAATTGAAAGAAGCTGAGAAAGATGTGAGTATCTTGTAACTCAGAGGGCTGTGTGTGAGAGTGTGAGCTGGGATTTTTCCAAGAGAGCCCTGAGGATGTGGGCACCTGGATTCCAACATCAAGCCTGAATGAAAAAGGGCTTGCCAGGCGTAAACAGTTTGAGGGAGCAGATACAGACTTGGTTCCTAGTCCTGCCATGGGCTTGTGCTGTGACCTCATCACACAAGCACTGTGCCCATAAAATGGTGCAGGAGCGTTCCCTGGTTTTGAGCATCTGAAGGAGGATATGTACCTTAAAGCCTGTGGGAGGTGCTGCAGTGATAGAAACAACTGCTGCGGCTGTGATTCCACAGAAATGCCAGCCTTGCTGCGACATAGTTCTCACTGCTCCCTCATCTCTTCATTCCCACCCAAAGGAGAGAATGTTTGCTTCCTGAAGTAACATTGATTTACAGATCTCCAGTTGTGCTGCAGCCAGTGCTGCCCACTAGCAGCCACTCCATCTAGAGACTTGCAGCATGTAGGCGAAGACTCCCCGGAGGGCAGTAAGTCCAGCTCAGCACAGTCCTGCAGGGATGTGACAGAGCTCTCTGAGAGCTGCTCTACTCTGATTTGCTCAGTGTGTATGAGCTGATGCTGTGGGCCAGGGAAGACACTGACATCTTGCTGGGGGAGGCAACTGTTTCTTGGGCCTCACGGAGGGACAGAGAAGTGCTCCAGTAAAAAGCATCACCTTGACTGGCTGTATTTTTTTGGCATTGTATAAGCATGAGAGAGTCCAGTAGGAACATGGGGCTTGGAAACAGAGAGAGACCTGTTGTATTCCTATGGCAATTTAACTCTGTGCTTGTGTCCATTGCAGGGCTTTTTTCATGAGGGTACATTTTTCTTGGGGGACAGGTCAGTGACTTATCAGCTCAGTCAGGCCCCAGTGCTAGTGGGACCACTTCAGGCATTGTTCCTGTTATTGGGGTAAAGCATTCTTCCCTTCCCGTCTAATTCTTATTTTCTCTGCCCTGGCAGCTCCATGAAAAGTTTGACCATCTAAAGAGGACTCACCAAGAAGAGAAGAAAAAGGTGGAAGACAAAAAGAAGGAGCTTGAGGAAGAGCTGAACAACTTCCAAAAGAAGAAGGCAGCAGCTCAGCTATTACAGTCACAGGCTCAGCAGGCAGGTTCTCAACAAACCAAGAAAGACAAGGACAAGAAAAAGTAAGCGGATGTCACCCACATCCTTTGTAGGGCTTATTACAGTTTGGGGGGTTGTTTTTGTTTTTTTGCTGCATGTCTGTATTTGCTTTTCCCCATTACCAGACTGGAAACTGGGCTTTTATCAGCCTGATCAAATAAAATATTTTTTTTCTAAAGGGTGGGCCAGGGACATGATCTTAATTTTTTTCCAGAAGAGTACCTTCAAATTTTGTCGAAGTCTGACTGAAGTCTGACTGGTATGGGAGAGCAATCAGATGGTGGAGGTTTGACCCGTGATCTGTCCAGCATCTTCTGGAATAGCTCTGGGTTGTTCTGAATGCAGATTTATCTGCCTGAGCCAAAATTAAAAAGGGGTCTTAACCCATTCCTCCTCTCACCCGACAGTAGTCCCCAGTTCCCATTCTTTAAGGTTATAGTTGTAAGTAGAAGTAGATCAGAAACCAAAACCGCCATGTTATTTTGACATGGAAATCTTAGTGCCAAAAGTGAATACTTGGGAGCTTGCTTTAAAGATGAGAAGTTTTCTTTGTTTTTTAAAAAAACAAGCAACTACTATGGTACCGTAATTGCAGGTAAATGGCATTTGTATTTGTATCGAGTTGACGTTATAAGCTAAGAAACCCCCCGTACCTTTTAGTAAAGACAATAGCACTGTTTTCTACTATTTTATATTTGTATACTAGGATTATAATCCCCTACCCTCTGATACTTTGAGGTTTCTGCAACTTCAGTAGAAACCAAGCGTATCTGTGGACAGTCCCTCCTGTGGTCAGCACTGGGAGGCAGGATTTTCAGATGTGCTCAGTGTGGACCTAACTCTGCTTCTGTTGAAACTGGAGGAACATTGCCATTGGTTTGGGCTCAGAGTTAAGTCCCCGCAGAGCTTTGCTGAAAATCTCCCGATTGACCCAAACTGGTGTAATCTCTTTCTTGCAGCCTGTACTTGGAGATGGCTATGTTTAGTTTGCTTATTAGTGCAAAAGTCTCATATTTATTACATGATACTGGCTACTTCACCATCCTTTAAAAAGCAGAATGCAACATCCACTTGGATGTGGTATGTATGGTGAAGCCAGATAAGCATTGCAGAGGTGAAGTAGACTGCACAGCTTGTTTGTATAGCGAAGCAAAACAGGTTATTGTACAGAGGCTGTTTTGGAGCCTCCTGTTGTAAATTCCATCCAGTTTTTCCATACCCAATAAGGGGATACTTGTGCAAGTCTTTTCTGGGTTATTTGTGATAACGGCGCTAGTTGATAACTGCAATCAGGAGAGCTGTAAAGATGCTAATACAGCCAGTCTCACTGGGAAATGCTTCTTTCTTCAATCCACACACAAAAATGACAGTTCCACGCTTCTCTTAAGAGCCGATACCAAGTGTGTTTGAGTCAACGCTGGCAGAGTAACCTTCTCGAGTAACACTAAGCTGTAACCATTGAAAGAACCAAAACGCTGGCAGGAATGTGATACAGACACTTCTGTCTCCCTTGCTAACCTGAGGACTTCAGCCAGGCCTGACCTGTCTCACGGGGTGTGCCTGTGAGGCTCTGCTGCATTGCATATATACCAGTATACTTTTATAGCTGGGGAAGTTCTGCAGATGCTTACTGTACATCCCCTATCTCTACTACTGGGTCGGTGGCCATCATTCATCGCTTCTGCCCCTGCCTTCTTCTGCAGAGGGAGGGGTGGGCCTGGGGCTTGTTCCTCAGCTGATGTAAATTGATGTAGCTCCTATGGAGCCGTGCTGCTTTATGCGAACTGAGAACTTGGCCTTCGGCTCCCACTGAGATACGTGGAGCGATTGTGTGCTGCATGCTCTGCTTGGGTAACGAAATCATTACAGACCGGCCAGTGGTGTGCCGAACTGTGGAAATAAGTGTCTGGCAGCTGTTGTCCCAGCATGCTGACACACCGTTCCGTGACGGTGCCTGTGAGTCGGATAGGTTGAAATGCTGTCTTCTCTCACCTGAGAATTCAGATGTGGTGGCCCGTTTCCTAAACACAACAGAAAATTTTCAAGACCCATTTTCTTATCTCAAGCAGAGTCAGTAGTTAAATATTTTTTAAGAACATTGCAATCATTTTTTTTGCACCTCTGAGATACGAGAGTAGTATGAAATGGTTGGGGAAGTTTTGTAACTTCTGGTAGCCACGGTTAGCTGCTGTTTGCTTCTGTGAAGTTGGGTGGTACAAGCACAATGTTGTGGGTGTGATTCATTGACGTTTCTAGCGGCTGTGACAACGCAGTTTCTGCTTTGCTGACGCATTTACAGAAGTCCAGTCATGAGGAACATGCACGTCCGTAAGCAGCATGCCCTTGCAGTGTCGCTCCACAGCAGGTGCAGCAACTGCTTCAATGGTTCTGTAGTGTCTGAGTTACTAACGGCAGCTCTAAAGGGAAATGCTGATGCTTCTGCCTTGTAGCACATCCTGGTTTTTCTGAGGCTTCTGTGTGCATCAGCTCAGGCAGCAGAGGAACTGCAGGCCCAGGGCAGAAGCTCGGAGTGCATTTCTTTTCTTTACCTGGCCAGACGGGGAATCTCCAGAGCAGCAGCCAGGCAGGGGCACGCAGGTGGGCACGCAGGCACTGATGAGCTCGGTCCATGCTAGAGGACTGCTGGCCTGCTGTTGACACCTGCTTATAGAGAGCCCACACGGGTGTGGGTTTACCACTGTGCTGTCATCCTCAGTGTGCTTTGATCTTTTCCATACCAATGCAGGGAGCTCAAGCGTGTCCTGGAGGGCACCTCCAAGTCTACCAAACACCTATGTTAGCTATGCATAGATGTGCTACTTGTAAACCCGTAGAGGATAAACAGCAATAGTTGTGGTAGGTGTTTTCCTATGCTACTGCTCTCCAGGCTTTACGTACTCCCAGCTGCAAGGTCACTTGAACCTATTTACAATCCTTCTCAACAATATTCTGCTTTTAACACTTTTCCTACTATGTTCCACCCCTTTTGCTCAAGAATGGGCTAGCAGTGTGGGGCAGGGTAACTTACAGAGTCATGTAATAACATAAAGGAAAAGGAATTAACATATAAACGTACGGTGTTCTCAGTGAGATGCACCACACATCCTGTCAGAGACTTAGCCAGGCATCACCAACAGATGGTTTCTCTGGATGCAGTAAGTCCTGGAGCTGTTGAATGTCATCCTGCACACTAGCTGGCTATGTTGAAGTAGCACATGCCTTCAGCCTTATGACAGCTGTAATGACGTTGAAGAAGGAGGTAGTACATCACCAGTTGATTCTGTGAGGTTCCTTAGCATGCAGCAGATGCTTCCAATTTTAAGGCAATTGACTTGTCCATTTTAAACCTTGTGCGGGGGCACATGCCAGGCTCTCTATTCACTACTTGGAAAGAATAACAATGAGGAATTGGTTACAGTAAAGGCCAACCCAACCCAAATATTTACCTATTGATCTTGGGGAAATATATCCAGGGTAGGTGCTTGTAGTACAAGTCGATAAAGCATGTTGAGCCAAACCATGACAGGAAAGGAAAATAGGGGTGTCATCTCCTTCCAGTAATGCATTTACGGTTGCTCCAGCTTCTTCAGCCAATGTTCCTCTAGCCTTGGTGGCTTTAGATGCTGTAACTGCCCACACAGATTGAAGAGCTATGGCTTCTACTTTTTCAGATTGAACTTCAGTTCAATGGTTTTTTGCAACACTAATGACAGTGTTTCATTGCTGTCTACCCTAGATAAGGCACAGGTATATGTCATATGTACCTGAAATATAAGAACTCAAGAATCTGATATAAACAGAGGATGTAGAAAAAGGGGAGAATTTGGAGTACCGAACCATACTGCATACTCAGGGTTTATTATATGAGTCTTTATGTGTAGACTAACAGGTTGCAGTCCTACTAAACAACCATAGAGTCATTCAGGTTGGAAAAGACCTCTAAGATCATCTAGTTCAATATTTAACCTAGTATTAAAGGCCACCACTAAACCATGCTACCAAACACCTACATCTACATCTGTACATCTACATCTACATGTTCCTTGAAGCCCTCCAGGGATGGTGACTCAACCACTTCTCTGGGCAGCCTGTTCCAGTGCTGCACAACCCTTTCAGTAAAGAAATTTCTCCTAATATCCAACCTAAACCTCTTCTGGTGCAACTTGAGGCCATTTCCCCGTGTCTTATCACTTGGCTCTTGGGAGAAGAGACAGATCCCGACCGTGCTACAGCCTCCCTTAAGGTAATTTTACAAAACAGTGAGGTCTCCTCTGAGCTGCCTTTTCTCCAAGCTAAACAATCCCAGCTCCCTTGGCCGCTCCTCATAAGACTTGTTCTCTAGACCCTTTGCCAGCTTCATTGTCCTTCTTTGGACACAAGATTTGGACAATCTGTCAGTGTAAACAATTTGTGCTTGAGGTGTTGTAATAGGATCATAGAACAAACAACTCTTTTCCTGGTCAGTTGCTGCAGAGGGCGCATTAATACTGCAAGACGTAGAATAAAAATTCTCTGCCGTAAAAGTCCCAGAGAAGTCTGCAGTTGTTTTGCTGTGGTTGGTACAGGAAATTGCTGGACTATTTGCTGTACCTTGTTTGGTAGTTCTCTAATCTGTCCGTGCCAAACTGGTCCCCAAAATTGCACCATAGTTCTAGGGTCCTCTATTCTTCTCTTTGGATTCATTGCCCAGCCTTGGTCCTGTAAGTGCACTTTCAGGGATTCAGCAGCTGTTTTGGCTTCTGGTTGTGACTCTGCCACGATCAATAGATCATTAATGTCATGGTAAACAGTGCTGGTACCCAGCCACAGTGCTACGTCAGCTACTGTCCATGAGTGGCAAATGGCAGGTCTGTGTTTATACCCCTGAGGCAGGATTTAGGAAGTCTATTGGTTTTGTTGCCAGGTGAAGGCAAACGTCTTGGCTGTTTGAAGCAATGGCTATTGAAAAGAAAGCATCAGCAGCATCGATCACCGCCTTGCAGGGTTGTGAATTTTTGCTATTTCTACGATAGTAACCACATCTGGATTTGTAACTGCACATAGAGGGGTGGCTTTATTCAATTCTCTGTAACCTACAGGCACTCCCCAAGTGCCATCTGATTTTTCAAATGGGCCATGTAGGAATATTAATAGCAGGCATGGTTTCTTTAATGATTTCCACTTGTTGAAGTGCCCCTGAATGGTTTCTCACCCTCCCCATCAATACCCAAAATGCATTATTTAATTGGGGCAATTGGCAGCGTTGTTGCAAATGGGTCTCGTCCTGTTGTTAAATTAGGTCAGAGAGACAGGGTGGGATTTCACCCCAGTATGCAGATCCGTGATGTGGCTTCTTTATTGTTGGTATTACTGTGTAATACAGGAACTTCAGCTCCAGTATTCCCCAGAGCTACCACATGTAAAACCCCTCCAGACCCACACTTCGTACTTAAAGGAACATCGGGACGCCAGTCCCCTTCACCATTAGAGGCAGCAGTTGTGGGGGACCTGCCAAACGTTCATTTCTGCTATTTTGGCATTTGACAAGTAGTGCTTTGCTTTGAGGTAGCAGGAGAATGCAGTGTGCAGGGGAGGCTTTTTTTTTTTTTACATCAACTTTTGCCATCAGTGAAGCATTCCTGATGCTGTGATCCTGTTTATTTTTGGTGGTGGGACACCAGCTTGCACAAGATCATCCCACGTTTGTTTCCTCATCACCTGTGATGCAACTCCTTTCAGTTTTGCCTCCTTTCCTTTATTCACCACCTGCACAGATGGTCCTGAAGTTACAGCCCCAGTTTCCCTCAGGGAAGTTGCTTGGGTGCCTACATTACGCCAGCAGTCAGGAGTGCTGCTGATAATCTAAGGTTTCAGTGAAGCAGGCACCCCTGCCCCTCTCAAAAGCTGCATTTGGGTACTTTTTGTTACTGCTACCCTGCCTGGGCTGGATCCCATAATTGCCATGAGCCATCCCTATCTGCTGCACTGAACTAATAGCATTGTACACCACTTTCTGAGGGCTGGTAGTAATTTGGCAGGTTCTGCTTATGGTATTAGAACTGCTGCACACAACCACTGATGGAATGTAGGTGCAGTAATATCCTGCCCGTCAGGATCCCTGGTATTTTGTAAGTGACCATATCCTTATTGATCTGATCATCACTGGCCATAGGGCTTAACAGCCCTTTTTCACCCATAAGTTAGAGGACAGATGCAGCCCTGCTATCCCAAGCTCACAAAACCCTTTCTTAGTGCTGATGTGCACCGTGGTGGTGCTCGGGCAGTTGATGTGGGAAATCTTTGCCATGCACAGTCCCTCTCACCTCCCTTAGGAAGCATTTCATGGGAACGCTTCTTTCCCAAGGTGGGATCTGATTTCTCCAGCTAGGACAGCAGAGACTTTCCACTGTGCTGTACAGGCTGGAGAGAAGGCTCGGGGCCAAATCTGCTGCTGGCCCGATCCCATGAGGGAGAACTTGACTCTGTTGACTTCCAGGCTCTCTCTGCAGGAACAAGCTGTCTTTTACCTTACTTTTTTTCTACTCAATTTCTCAGATTCCTCTACTTCTATGCTTTTTTCATCCTAAGTTGTTGGCGATAAGGCCTGATGACAGAGAAGCGTGCTGTTTTCGGGGCAGCACATCTGTGTGCCTCAGACCCCCACAGGACCGCAGTACAGACACGTACTCAAGTCTTTTCCTGACTGAGCATACTGCCATAATTTCGGGATGGGACCACGCTTCGAACCCAAACAATCTGGAGCTGGTTCCTGGCAAAACCTTTTGAAAATAGGAGCAGCAAATGGCCTCTTGCCTGTTGTTTGGTAGATCACCACGTGCGTGCCTCAACATGTGTCGTTGGGTTACTCGCTCATCCTCGGCCCGCCTAGGAGCCAGGACCATCTGTTTGGGCTCTGTTTCTTTCTTCTGGAGACCAGATGGAAAAACTATTTTCCGGCTTCATTCGAATATAATAATTTCCAGTCCAATGTTGACTGGCTGGCTGTCATGGGCCGTGCTTAGTCCCAGAGCGATCCCTGATCTGTCACACAGCTGTAGCGTGTATGTCAGGGCCTGGCCCAACACCCTGTTAAAAGAAGGTTTTTGTGATGTCTGAAGGATCTGACTTGGGCTTGAAAACCCATGTTTGCTGAAGTGCAGGGAGACCTCGTGGTGCCCAGCTTTGAGCTGTCTGCATTTCAGAAACGTCCAGGCACAGCTTTCTGCAACAGAGACCACGTTCACGTGATGAGAACTGGACATCTGCAGTCAAGTCCCCCCAGTACTACTTCTGAAAAAAGCTTTAAGGTGAAACATGAAGGCTCCAACCACGTGCTTGCAGGGTTGGTTGTTCCATACTTCTTCCCCCTTAGATTTTTTTTTGATCTTTTGCTTATCATGTAGGCTAGAGTAGAGCTCAGTTGGGAGGTTCAATTTCTTTTTAGTTCTGTAATTCATCTGCATGCCCACCCACCGTAGCAGGTTGCTGGTGTTGGCTCTCCCAGCTTTCCTTGATTATTTTTTTTTCCATTTTGGGTTCTGTTATTGCTAACTTCTTTTTGTCCTTTTTTTTTTTTTTTTTTTAACTTGCAGTGCAAGCTTCACATAAAGCCTGTCCAGCCAAGGATGTTCCTGCATTCACCTGCTTTTGCAGTAATGTGTCTCTGCCATCTGTTTTTTGGTTTTGTTTTTGTTTTTTTAACATGAATAACTATTAACTCATCTAATAACATAGTGGGAACAAGAAGGAAGAAGGGTTGGGTGCAGGACTGTGTGCCTCTGGAAATCCCAGGGGGGTGGGGGTGGAAACAAAACGATACCATGGATTTTCCTGGGCAAAACCAGCAGTGATAAATCATTTTTGGCACCAGATCTGAACTGAGAGTCAGGGCTGGAGGTCGGCAGATCCGGGTGAGTGTCACTGTGCCTACCCAGCTTTCGGAGGGCCGGCTGCCACAGCCCTGTGCTGAAGGGGTCCCCTGGTCCGCAGAAACCAGCCTCAGGGATTTATTGCTATCTGAGGGTTACAGCTGGCTTCCTGCTGTGGCTAAACCCTGAAGTTTAGTCCGACCCATATCCCTTCAGGAGCGAGTGTCTTAGAGCAAAACTTGTCCCGCTGTTGGGGAGGGAGGGAGGGGGGTATGTGTGTGTGTAGGTAACAAAAGTTTAACTCACCTTGCATGCCATTACATTTGCATGATTTATTTTTTTTATTAGCTACTGTTTTTGTTGTCTGACCAGATAATATTTGTTGGCCGGGGTTCGTTGTCACCTGCTGGCATATTTTCACAGCCACCCTTCCAGGTCAGTGTAGTGTCTGCTCGCCGAATGCTGCGGTGGGAACCGAACAGCGCTGCAGGTGCCTGGAGCAGGGACCGTGTCTCGTTCCTGCTTCCCATGCATCACTTCCTTGACCGTAACCTCTGAAAACTCACTTAAAATAGTGCCAGGTTTCCCGTGTGCATGATCTTGGCGAGACTTAGCAGTGCTGAGGGAATCAAATGCCCAGGCAGAGGAAGGCATGTACTCTTCAACATCCTCTTGCTGCCTTCAGGAGCATTATTTACCCACATATTTACAGCATCCAGGTTTTCAAGTCAAGGGAATCCCATTTTATTGGCCAAATGCTGGTTAACATGAAAGGTTCGAATTAGGATCTCCATCCCTGGAGCAACCAGGGCAGAAAATGTGCTGCATGCCTAGGGTGACTGCCCCGTTGCCTGAAAAGCATCAGAAAGATAACACGTCAAAGCATGTTGAGGAGAGGCCAGAGGTTTGTTAAACCTCAAAGTGACTTGGCCTTCTCAGAGGGGTGGACAACGCAGCCAAGGAGGGGGAGAGGGTGCCTGTCACAGTCACATATCCCCTGAAAAGTGCAAATGAGATATCTAACGTAAGCCAGGCTTCGCTCTTTGGCCAGCACGGTGTGGAAATCGGTCTGTTTAATGTTTTATTTTCTATGCCATTGCTTTTCGGACAGAGTCTTTCCCTTCCTACCCAAGAAGTGGCGAGCCATGCTTACCCTATGACTGCTGGATTTCTTTCTCTTCTGCTGATGTGCTGCCAGCATTTCCACTGCTCCTAGCTAGGTAGTCTCCTGTTTCTTTCTTTAAAGCACTCCTAAAAATAGCTCTCTCCACTTAAGTCTCACACACTGCAGTTCTTTGCTTGTTTCTGGGATGAAATTTCTTGCCTCTCTGAATGTTCTTTAAAAAAAAAAAAAAAGAATTATCACTTTTCTGGAGTTTTGGTCGGAGAAATGCATTTGGGGTGTGGCTTTTGGGGCTTTCTGCTTTCTAACCCTCACTGCCTAAACATGGCTTAGGGAAGAGGATATCTAAATGCAGTGTCTTGGATAGACGGCAAAAATCAGAGATGAGCAAGCTAGAAATAAAGTAGTTGTCTCTTTTTTCTTCCAATCATGCCTCCTGGTCTTGTCAACCACAATGTGCTTCTGTCAGGTTAGGTAGGTTTTCTAGAAGGTCATTTAGCAAAATAAAACTATGGTTCCTGTGACTTCTGTCAAACCTAACTTTAAAACCTTGAGTTATCAAGGAAGAAATCTGCTGGCGTGGATTTTTTTACAATCCCATTATGTGCTCCTGTCTCAAGCCTGAATGCTTGTGGCAATATGTTTTGTTTCAGCTGTCTCTGTGCATGTCCTTCTTTTTAATTACCAGCATTTTGTGCCAAGTAAAAAACTTAACTTTAACGTGTGTTTGTCCTGCTTCATTTAACAGCCTTTCCAAGGGATGTTTGGCAGGGGAGATCAGCTGAGTCGAGCCATTTTTCTTTTCTGACAGAAAGCCATGGACCAAGTGCATTCATGTATTTTTGGTTGGGTTTCTTCCTCCAGCACAAAGCAAGCTGTTTCGGAGAAACTGGGAATAACCAGAAACTTGCAAAAGTGAAAGGTATCATTTTGTTTTCTTCTCCAAAGGAGGAATTAATAATGACTTTTTTCTCCTCAAAACCCTGGGCCATGTTTAGCTGGTTATTGCTGCACTTCTTTCCTTTACTTATGCCTTTTTTCACAGTAGTCCCTGGTTCTGCATGGAGTAAATGATACTCTCAAATCTATTTGGATGTGCTTTCACCTTTGCACGTAAGTACAGTAGTAAGAGACTCACCCTTTCTGCTCACTACTAACATGAGTAAACCAGGTGTTTTGCTGGGGACTTCTTTTAAGTCCACTTACGTACAAGTGGCATTGTTAAAACTATTTAAAAACTTCCTGTAATAACCTGCTTTTGCTGAGATTTTGGGAAAAAAAAATAGCCATAGGAACATGACATCCATCTGCTGTTGAATGTCTGAGTTACCCTGCATAGCTTCCCTGCACGCCTCAATCTTGCAAATCGGCTGGTGAAACTGGGGCTGGACAGCCGCACGGTTGCATTGCTCATGAAGCACTGCAAGCTTTAACGTGCCATTAGACAGCGATGATAACGAGCTGATGATGCTGCACGTCCCTAATAAGGTGGATTTCAAACCTGAGAGTAACACAGACGAGCAGGAAAGCACACAGGCATGCGTGTTTCTGGGACGATGACGTTCCCTAGGCACGGAACAAACCCTTGAAGAGAAAAAGGAACAAAATCCAGGTTGTTGAGAGAGGCCACGACTGCTCTGTAGGGGTGGGCATGCCACGTGTCTGGCAGTCCACTGAGAAGGTGGACGTCGCCCATAGCTCTCTGGGAAGGCAGGCAGGCGCCCTTCGAGCTCAGGGTCACTGACTGCATCTCCTTGCTGTGCTGCAGCCTGTGGTGCCGCTGGGGAGCGGGGAAAGCAGCAAAAGGCACCTGCCCCCAGCTCCTCTGCAGCCCAAAACCTGCAATGCGTGTTGCACCCTCGCTGTGTGTGCTTCTGGCAGCTCGAAGTCGCGCCAAGCAGAGTTACATCTCTGTGTCTCTTTAAGCATGCCCTTATTTAACATGACCAGTGTTTCTCCAGGTAGTTGTAATTCTGCTTCTCCTAGAACATCCGAGTGAGAATGGAAATGTCTTTTTGTGTGTGATCATATCAGCTGTGTCCATTTGACTCCAGTTACCATTTGCCCTTCTAAGGTGTTAGAAGCGTGTTTCTGTCTCTTCTCCAAGGACCCTGGTTGCATTTGCAGTACACGATATCCATGACACTCATCAGCGTGTATCAGCATGGGACTATACAAATATGAAGGGTTTTTTAATTAACGGAAAATAAAGCTGTGAACAGCGGTAGAAATATTGTATTTGTATACATTTTTAATATCCTGATTGCCTTAAACTATAGATGTAGAACTTTATTACCTTGCTATTTGAAAATAACCCATGTTTGTAACTAAATAATTGTGTAACCTACATACAGTGTTAATGCAAATTATATGTATGCATCTGTTAGATATTGTCACTTTATTTGATGTTAAAGTATTTCTTTTTTTTTTTTTTTGAATTACAAATTGAATAATAACCTCATAGCATAAGCTCAGTTATTTCTTGTATATTCTTTAGGCTACGTACACAAATAGTGCCAACACTTGAAGTGGGGAGAGGAAATATATTTTTTACCCAAACGCGTTGGTCTTTGAGTTGCCTTTGTGACTTTGGTTTGCTGCTGCCGTTTCCCAGGTGTGATGGGAGGGATGTGAGGACATTCGAGGTTCCCCTACAGGCTGTTTTGTGCCATCAGGCTGTCTCTGTAGACTTGTGCTGGTGTTTGTCAGTGGCTCTGTGTGGCTGCCACGAGCCTTCGTGTGTTCCCTGACCCAGGTGCGGTGCCTTGGCGAGGTGCGGGCCCCCGCAGCTCCCGTGCAGCTGGTTTGTATGACACGTCCCCAGCGCACTCCTTTCATTCATGGCTTACTTGCTCTAAAATGTTGTTCCTCCTTTTTTTTCTTTCTCTCTGTCTCTCACTTTCTGTTTTTCATTTCAATTCTGAACCTCTGTTTCTTTTCTTTTCTTTTTTTTTTCTCTTCCTGTAGCTTCTTCTTTATGTAACCGTCATCTTGCCAAAGCCCCCACACCCTCTCTCCCAGCGGACAGTAGGGCACTGGAAGAGCCTGTGGCTGCGTGGGCCCCCGCCGGGAGGAGAGCCATCTCATTCTTCCATCACGTCTGCCCTCCTCTCCTTCCCTTTTTGTTTCCCACCTGTGCGTCTGAGGGTGCGCTGTGCTGTGTGTCTCTGTGCGGGCTCGGGCTGCTCCCGGCGCGTTGCCAGCAGAATTGAGGCTACCAAAAATGACAGAGGTAACGGCTGGAGGAGGGAGCTTGGCTGTAACGTGAGATGCTGCTCTGGGATTTTTTCCCCTCCCTGTTTTCTTCCCTTCTGCCATAACGTGCACATGCTGCTGATGACGAAGAGACTGGCAGACGGGATGCTGGTGAGTGTGCGTAGCCAGAGGGCTTCAGGGCTGCCTCTGAAGCTTGAGTCTGGCTGCTTCGGACGCCACAACTTCATCACAAGTACGTCCCGTGCTGCTCTGACGTGTGATGAAAATGCGTCCTGAGACCTGGGGGACTTGTTAGCATGAAGCTGCGTGAAGCGGAGATGGCTGCTGTTGCATCCTGCTGCACTGAAGGACCTGTTCCTGGGCGGTTGAGGCTTTATTATTTTCTAGTTGATCTGCCTCTGTATGAGCAGAGTAGGAGACTTGTGCAATTGAGCTGCACTGACTTGTGCTTAGATTGACTTCTTTATATTTTTACGAGGTCTAATTAGTGATGATTTTTTTTTCCTACCCTGAATGTGGGGTACTCGTTTACTTTGGAAGTGAATACACTCAAAAGGCTTGAAGAGTGCCAAAGCATTGTTCAAGTGTAAAAAGAAAGCTTGCAGGCTTGGTGTGTGGTGAGCTCTAGCTGGTCTGAGATGGATGGAAGGAGGTAGCCTGCCCCTTCGGATGTTCTTTGTGTGGGGTTGTGCGCTTTTCTTCTGACCAAATACTGGTGATTTTCCTCATCTGCAAACCTTAATCAAAGAGTTAACCTCCTCTAATCTGCCAAAGAAAATGTACTATTAAATTGTCTAAGTTTTGCCTCTTCCAATTTGTGCGAGAAGCACAGGGTGCCAGGGGTGTTCACCGAACTCAGCTGCCTTGTGTCCAGAAGCACAGCGTTGTTCAGCGCTGCTCAGTGCTGAGGGTTACATCTCCTGAGGCTCCCTCCACGGGGGTGGCGATTTTTCTATCACGATAGAAAACCTGTTTGTCCTGGAAACATCTGCAATCAGGTGACTTTATAGATACAATGGGAAAGATTATTAAGTATTGGCCTGGCGTGGATGCTGTAACAATTTGTGCTACAAACAGAATTGCATGCTGCTGCCTGATCTGAAGGGATGCCCTCCTCAGGGTCCCTGCTTCGAGGAGGGAATCCCCTCAATTTTCTGTGAGTCCCTGGACTTTTTTCTTACTTACGATTTGTGGTCTGGGTTTATCTTGTGGTAGGAGTCTAGCCTGTGAAACCCCATTGTGTTACAGCCTTTCTCCTGAAATGTAGTCACTTACTGTGGAGCTCCTGCTCTTAGCAGGGCACTGGGGCTGTTTTTTGAGCCCTGCCCTGTGCCTGCTCACCCGCGTTGTGCAGTCGTGGGTGGCTCGGGCATCATTCACTGCAAGCAAGCAAAAAGGAAAAACAAGGTGGCAGGTTTGGGGGTTTTAGCTCAAAGGAGAGGACATCCAGTGCTGCTGGCCCCACCACCTCACCCGTGTAGCTGTGCCCTGCGACCTTCCGAAAGCCTGTGTGTGACAGGAGGGAGGTCCAGCTCCGGGCAAAGTGCCCCACTGGGAGTGCTGCAGCATCAGGAAGGTCGGGAGAGGGACAAAACCCTTCTGTTTGTTGAACTTCTAAACTCCAGATAAAAATATGTAAGAGCTTTATACTGATTAGAGAAACAGGCACAAAGCCAATAACTACCACTTATATGAACTGCCTTTATTTTACAGCTCCTAGTCTTGCTGTGCTGGTGCCTTGAGTCCTGCATGCAGCTCTGGCCTTCGTGTCTCCAGAAGGACATAGTGGAGGTAGCGAAGGGCACTGTAATGATAAATGGGATGGAGCAGCAGCCGGCCAGGTGAGACCACGAAGGCTAGGAGGCCTCAGTTCGGAGAGGGTAAAGCTGAGATGAGAGAGGATTGGCCCCGCTGTGAGCTGGAGGTTGCAGCAGATGTCCTCTAGAGGTCCCTTCCAGCCTAAATTTTTCAGAGTGCGTTACAAAGTCCACACAATTGTGCTAGCAGCGGTTCCTACCTGCTGGTAACCAAACCAGTGGGACTAGAACCGGGGGGACGCTCGGTCAAGGAGGAGGGAATCTGCTCAAAACATTGAGGAATTTTCTTGCAGAGCAGGGAGCAGATTTCCAGAATTTGTTGCCTTGGGTGAAGGAGGCAGATCATATCAACAGGAGTTCAAACAATAAATAAACAAACAGGTGAATGCATAAGGAGCAGATCTATGAGGAATTTTAGGGGGATGAAGCAGGATGAAATTTCTGACATCCCCAATCTGGTTGTGGTAGATGCGGGGCAGGAGGAGGGCAGCGAGCAGCAGGACACGCAGGGGCACTGCGGGCAGGGTTTGCGCTGAGACGCGTGTGGACGAGGGACTGGAGCAGAGCTGGGGGGTGACACTGGGGGTGACACCGTGCTGCTTGGCTCGCTTCCTCCCGCACGCCCAGCTGCTAGGGGAGGAGGTGTCAGCGTGGGGAGGGGATGGCAGCATGGAATGTGTTGTCAGGACGGCCCAGAGCTGGGATTTGTCACTCACTGTCACAAAATGGCCCCAGCAGAGCTGGAAAGTTCTTCACACAGAAGAGCAAGCGGGTGCCCAACTTTAAAATCACGCTTATGAGCTTAACCCTTCTGTTGCTGCTGGAGAATAAAAATGGGTTCTAAGGAACTCCCCAAACCCAGGGCTGCGAACAGCTCCCAGGTTGGACGTGCTTCGTGGCACAGAGGGGGGTTTTGTGGTGTCGTGCTGCCATGGGCTGGGTCACGGTGTGCCAAAGGAGGGGTCTGGGTTGTCAACCCACCAGCAACTTGAGCAGTGAGGATTTCCCCCGTGTTTGGTACCTGCAGGTCTCACTTCAGAGACAAAAACACTTCATGAACGGCCCCAGGCTGAGCAGGGTGGAGGAAGTGTGGCAGTGCTTCTCTGAGGCAGCACTGAAATAGTGGAGGAAATTGCCAGAGGGTTACTGTTAGCACATCTCCCAGGCAAGCACCGCCTGGGCATAGAGGAAGGATGAGGTGCTGCACAGCACAGAAGGGCGAGCTGGGATTATTGTACAGGTGGCATCAGGAACAAGTGGCAGAGCTCTGCTGAGACGGGGCTGGATGTGTGGCTGCTGTGTGCTCCGGGCTGCTACCTGGGATCCGAGGGCACCGTGCTGGGTGCTGACATGAGGTTTTGGGAGAGTAAGAGCTTTATCCCAGGGGTTTTGAGGGAGATCAGACAGTGGTTTGGAGCTGCTGTTTCCCTTCCTGCTGCCTGTTCACCTGAGCCACGTACTCTGCTGGGCTCCTGCAGGCCCCTGCTGGAGCAGGCTGGCTCTGTGCTCAGCATTCTCAGCAGCATCCATGGCGTGATGCACTGGGGTGCCTGAAGCTCGCGAGGGAACCACACCAGGACTCAGCAGCATCGGGCAGCTTTCCCTGTGCAGGGAGCCTGGGCAGGGTTCCAGGACAGTCCTGTGCTCTGGCCGTGGGCCCAGCACGCTGTTGAGGGAGCAAGACAATGGCACAGGCACGGGCCATACTGAACTTCATCTCCTGGGGGTTTTGGTGGGGAGGAGATGTGCGAAGTGGCTTTGTCCGGCAGTCCGGGTTATTTTTTGTTTGATACCATGAACCCCGGTTAAACTGCGCTGAGATCCCGCAGCGCTGGGGGATTTCACTAGGGGTGTGCAGGTGGAGCCCACGGGCTGCCCAGCTGGAGAAAACTTGTGAGGAGGAGAAAAGGTCAGCGACTGGGCCACCACGGGGATGAGAGGAAGGCCTGGAAGGGAGGAAGGGACACACGCCCTGCTCAGAAACACAGACCTGGGAGGTGGTTTCCAGAACGCGGCCAGGAGGAGAGCTGAAACCCGAGGCGCGCTTCTCACAGCGGACCCAAGCACAACAGAGAGGATGGCTCTGGCACGGAGCTGCTCCCCTGCAGCCTCCAGGTAAAACTGGTCCTGGACCCGGGTAAAAAGCATGAAACGAGGCTCGGAATCCAGGACAACTTTCTTTATTGCTACCAGAAGGCTTTCATCAGTACAATGGCTCCAATACAATACCTTCCTCAGGGCTGTGGAGAGAGAGCTTACAATTGGGACAGGTCATTCTGAGAAACAGAGGTGTAACATTTAAAAGAGACAAGCTTTTAAAGGTTTTACTCTTGGTTAGAAGTTACATGAACACAAAACTCAGGGTTAGGGTCTCTTGGGGTGGTTTTTTTTTGTTCTTTTTTTTTTTTTTGTGACTGATAATTACACACCTTTCAAACCTCAGGCTGCCCCAGCACTTCACCACACAGCGCTGGGCACATGCTAAGCTGAGAAACACATGGGAAAACAAACAGAATTTTCTCGTCA